AGCTATGTAGAAGTTTCCCAGAAAGAGCAGGTAGCCTTTAAACTGCTAGACAGGAAATAAAATATATATTTATATTATAATAATAAAGCCATTTTATAATTATTTAATAAAATAGTTCTTTACTTTAATTTGTTAAGAGAGCTTTAGGGGGGCAGGATCAATGATGATGATTATTTTATTTCAAGTCTGTAAGACTTATTTGAGTTCATATTTAGGTTATTTACTAAAATATACACTAAAATATATCCTTTAAATCGTTCATGGAGATGAATGCAGTAAATAGTCTTTATAAAAAAGTTAAAAATAAACCTGTGCAAACAAGCTAACCTTTATAACCAGATTATTTAACAAAAGATGATTACTGCAGTAAAATATTGGTAGTCTTTTAATTAGCAAGATGTGTACAGGATAGAGAGGGTGTGAAAAGTGAATTGTTTGTTTTAAAACTTCTGAATCGGAATTTGTCCAATTATAAACCCGAAATACACGTGTTTGTTGTCATGTGGTGAACTCGGCCAATCGTGTAATATCGGTGTCGTCATCAGAGCTCCTGCAGTCGCTCTTCAGAAGCTGCACGGTCTGAGTTTGCCGTCTGATCTCGGAGCGCTGTCGCGGTACTTTGATGCCACATGTGACAGTCACGTGGCGTCGGCGCAGCATCAATCCGGACAAGATTTCTAACCAGAATGCACCGCTTTAAGACAGATTTCGATCGATCTGCGCAGCGCTGCATGAAGTCGAACGCACCTAAAACAAAAAAAGTGTTATGACGTAATGTTTGCGTCACGTGATACTTCCCGTGAGCGTAACAGCATTTTTAAATTTCAACCGTCATCAAACTTCATAAAGGTAAGCCTAACTGACCACACATTCACAACTCCTCCAATGTCAGATAAAGGTTAACTAATCACATTTTGTCGACCAAAAATATTGATTTACACGTGACGCGAGGCTGTGACATCTTTCCACATTTAAATGCATAATCACTTCAGGTGCTGAGGAGGTGCTTTATTCCGTGTTAAACGCTACTAAAGTGATTGAATTCCATTTTGTGTGACATTTTTAGCTGTAAAGAGTAATAGTTTACCTCAGATCTTTAATATAAAAATTATAGACTGTAAAAATAAAAATGAATAAACTTTTCTGCTATTTGCGTCACGTGGCACTCGCTCGAAATTCCCGATCTCGTGAACACGAAAATTCCAACCGTCAAATTAAGACTGACCGCACATTCTCAACTACAAGTCGAAGATTTTGTCTCATATTGTTGACCAAAAATGTGTATTTATACGTGGCGCGACGCTGTGAAACATCATTAAAATGAGTTCTAACCATCACTAGCTAAGTTTCCATCCAAAAATGCGAATAAACTTTATGCGCATTATCGCATAAAAGTTGTGCGAATGAAGCAGCGTTTCCATCCAACGAATCAAAGCGAAGAAAATCGTCACTTCCTGATTAACTGGCGCCAAATATGAACAGTAAAACCTGCATTTGCTGCAGTAGGAGAAGCTGCATCAATCTTTTCTGAATGAATGCGCCTCAGAAGACAATCCTGACAGGGCGCAGTGGCGTTTGAAGGTGTCAGCCGCGGAGCACAGGCACTCTTGATTCTGGAGGTCATTAATAATATAACAACACTGATACTGAAATGGTAAGGCGTTTTATAATGACAAAACAACATTTCAGATGTTTTATAATGTGCTCAGCCTGACGTTTTATCTATATACACTCATTTTAAGCATCACATGATCTCTTCAACAAAATCACATGACCTTTTTTTAATGCGAATCCTACCCAGTAAGGCGCATAAGTTTTTTTATGCCATTTTCAAAATTTATGCGCATCATGGCGCTTCCATCAACGGCATTTTTTAATGCGCATTTTGCAAATGGGTGGATGGAAACATAGCTACAGCGACCTGCTAAGTTTATATTGTGATGTCGCAGCAGAACATGACAACAGTCACCTCAGGTGCTGATTATGTGCTTTATTCAGTGTTAAATGCAACTAATGATAGTTTGAATAACTTTTTTACGTGACGTTTATTGCCGTAAAGCAGCAGCAGTTTACTTCAGATCTTTCAAATAAAATTAATAAACTCATCAATGACTGTTTTTCCTCCACTAAAAAAAAGCTTAAACCAGACCAGGCTGGTTGACTGGTTTTAGCTGGTTGACCATCCTGGTTTTAGAGGAGTTTTGGCCATTTTCACGCTGGTTTCCAGCCATTTCCAGCCTGGTCTTAGCTGGTCAGGCAGGAAGATGACCAGCCAAAATCAGCAATGTCCAGCTTAAACCAGGCTGGTCATTTACAAGCTAAAACCAGGCTAGAAATGGGCAAAACCCCTCTAAAACCAGGATGGTCAACCAGCTAAAACCAACCAACCAGCCCAGGCTGGTTTAAGCTGTTTTTTTCATCTGTCGGATAAAGGTAATTTGACATTCACAACTCCACCCATGGATCATATTTCACGTTTTGTTGACGAAAAATGTGTATTTACATGTGACGGCGACACAAGGTGTTTTTTCACACTAAAAATTTGTTTTCAAAGCATCGATAATAAAGTTTATATATATGGTTTCTGTTGCGATATTGCAGCAGAACAGCATACTAACAGTTACCTCAAGTGTTAATTTAGATTTAGTTCTTTATTCAATTATTAATGTGAGTTTGAGTATCATTTAATTGTTGTAAAGCAGCAGCAGTTTACCTCACATCTTTCAAATAAAAGTTATAAACTTATCCTATACATTTTTGCGTGTATAACAAAATATAACAAAACTCTGCATAAAGGTAAGACTGAGTACACACATTTACAACTCCTCCAAGTCTATTATTTGTCACATATTTGTTGACCAAAAATGCGGCTTTAAACATGACGTGACACTGTAAAACCTGCTAGGTAACTTTTCCACAATTAAAGTTTTGTCCTAACCATGAGCGGCAGCGAAGTTTATATTGCGCTGTCCTGGGAGAACATGACAACAATCAGCTCAGATGATGATTATGTGTTTTATTCAGTGATAATAATGCTAATAATGTGCGTTTAAATACCATTTTACGTGACATTTATTGCTGTAAAGCAGCAGCAGTTTTCCTCAGATCTTTTAAATAAAATTAATAAACTTATGCCATAAATGTTTGCATTTCGTGAAACTCGCTTGAAATTCACGATCTCGTAAATTATCATGGATGTGACCATTTTCTATCCATGTCTCATATTACACGTTTTGTTGATGAAAAAAAAGTGGATTTACAAATGACGGCGACACAAGGTATTTTTCACATTAAAATTTTGTTTTCCGTTAGTGACAAAACATCGACAATAAAGTTTCTATTTACATTTTCTGTTGCAATGTCGTGGCAGAACAATATACTAACAATTACCTCAAGTGTTGATTTTGTGCCTTATTCAGTCTTTAATGTGCGTTTAAATACCATTTTACATGACATTTATTGCTGTAAAGCAGCAGCTGTTTACCTCAGATCTTTCAAATAAAATTAAGAAACTTATCCCATGAATTTTTGCGTTTTGTAAGACTCAAGATCTTGTAAATTATTGTAGAAGTGACCATTTTTGACCATGTCTCATATTTCACGTTTTGTTTATGAAAAATGTGGATTTACAGGTGACAGGGTTTTTGAATTTAGTTTTCATCAATGACAAAGCATCGACAATAAAGTTTCTATTTACATTTTCTGTTGCGATATCGTGGCAGAACAACATACTAACAGTTACCTTGTTGATTTTGTGCCTTATTCAGTTATTATTGTTAGTTTGAATACCATTTAACCTGACATTTTCTGTTGTGACGCAGTAGCAGTTTACCTCAGATCTTTCAAATAAAAATTAATAACCTTTGAATCCGTTAAATATTTGCGTCACGGCGCACTCGCTTGAAATCCCGATCTCCTTGACATGATCGCATTCCAACCATTAAATTTTGCCATACAAAAAACGTAAGATGACCACACATTCACAACTTCACCAACATCTTGTTTTATTTCTCACATTTCTGTTGACCAAAAATGTGGATTCACACTTTAAATCGTGACGAATTCATTTCGGTCACGTTTACACTCAATAAAAACACTCGGACTCGCGACTTCTTTATCAGCTACTCATGATGTATTGTTGCAATACAAAACAAAACATGAAATAAATCCATCGTTAGAATCATTAATAGGAGCTTCTTGCCCCAAATGTACAAAAGTTACTACCATTAATACCACAAGCGACCGTTTAGATCAAATTAAACCAACAATTCTTCTAAAAAAAGGAGGCATATTCATGGAGAGATAAACACACACATACACACACACACACACACACATCCTCATTCGCTGAAGGCTTAAGTTTTGGTGTAAAGCAAAGTTTTAACACTACATCATCAGGCTCTAACACACATTTGGTCACACAAATCAGACGTAAAGAAACATCCAGCAACACAATTCAGTTCTCGCTTCAGTCTCGAAGGCTTTTTTCTTTCAGCTACAAACACTCAAATGTCTGAAATGAGAGTCTAATGATGCATCAGACACAACATCAACATGTATGTACAGAGAAAAAACAGTGTAGGAAAAGTTGAGGTCGCTGGTTTAGTTGAAGCCCTGCGTACAAACCAGACCAGAAAACAAGAAAATACACATCGCGATTCTGAAATCACCAGAGGATATTGTGTATTTGCACCTAAATGATCTGTTATTGAGGAGCTGGAAACATTCATATAAACACCTCAGGGTGCGCTCACACCTGTGGATCGATTCTTTTGTTCCGAAACGGATATTAAAATTGTCACAATGTTTATTTTTGTTCTTGGTGCAGTTCTCTTTCACACGGCAACGATTCTAAACGCACCGTTTTAGTTAGAGCTAAAACAAGTCATGTGCGAGTAAACTCTCCTCACATTGGTCAGAGTTTCACGGTTTATTTTTATATTGAGTCCCGCTCAGCTGTCATACGTCCTTATTTATCCTTACGCATTATAGGCTTTACATTATAGAGAGAAATAACAGGGCTCTGTTCTTGGGCCACGTCTCTTCTTCATCTACACGACATCTTTAGGATCAGTCATCCAGAAACATGGATTCTCCTACCACTGCTATGCTGATGATACCCAGCTATACCTCTCTTTTTACCCTGATGATCTCTCGGTTCCAGCTCGCATCTCAGCCTGCCTGTTGGACATTTCACACTGGATGAAAGATCATCATCTTCAGCTTAACCTTACGAAAACAGAAATGCTTGAAGTTTCTGCCAACTCGACTCTACATCATAACTTTTCAATCCAGATGGACGGGGCAACCATTACTGCATACAACATGGTGAAAAGTCTTGGAGTAACGATTGATGACCAACTAAACTTCTCTGAGCACATTTCTAGAACTGCTCGATCGTGCAGATTCTCACTCTATAACATCAGAAAGGTCCGACCCTTCCTATCTGAACATGCAGCTCAACTCCTTGTTCAAGCTCTTGTTCTCTCCAGACTGGATTACTGCAACTCTCTACTAGCCGGGCTTCAGCTAACTCTATCAAGCCTCTTCAGAACGCAGCAGCACGAGTGGTCTTTAATGAAGCTAAAAGAGCACATGTCACTCCGCTGCTCATCCGTTTGCACTGGCTGCCAGTTGCTGCTCGCATCAAATTCAAAGCTCTGATGTTTGCCTACAAAGTGACTTCTGGCTTTGCTCCTTCTTATCGGCTCTCACTTCAGCAGATGTATGTGTCCTCCAGAAACTTGCGTTTCCCGAACTCTCGCATTCAAACTGCCCAGTTGGTGGAATGAACTTCCTAACTGCATCAGGATGGCAGAGTCACTCGCTGTTTTCAAGAAACCACTAAAAACTCAACTATTTAATCTCCACTTCACTTCCTAATCTGCCATTGCCTCTCCGTCTCTACCGTTAATTGTACAAAAAAAAAAATTACTAATGTTTTGCTTCTTGCACTTTACGCACCTGAAACTTGACTATAGCACTTCTTCATTGTTGCTCTTATAGTTGTGTAAATTGCTTCCTTGTCCTCATTTGTAAGTCCCTTTGGATAAAAGCGTCTGCTAAATGACTAAATGTAAATGTAAATAAACCAAGCCTGCTCTTCGGTCAGATTTCCTAATGGATAAACAGCTCTCGTTAATAATTGAGATGCTTTCACTTTTGTATTTGACATGAAACGCATATTTATCGGTAGGAATGACATCCCGCCCTACTCCTAATTCTCTCTTCATATAGCCATATGCCTATTACATATCCGGAATACTCTAGCCTGATAAAGCCTGGTTCGGATCATATCACTTTTTCACAATCAATCCGCTCTCAGACTGATTGTTTTAGCGTGGATCTGAGCGCGATTACTGGATTCACATATGCCAAACAAACCGCGCTAGCTTGGGAAATGCACCACAATCCTAAACAACAGTCTAGGTGTGAAAGCACCCTCAGTTTCATCTGATTTATCACAATATTGGACGTAATTTAGAAAAAATGGGACATTCTTAAATTACTAATAATTGCTAAACAACCCATTTTTGTCTATTTGTTTACTGTTTTCAGTCTGTAACATATAGATGCATGCGTAAATATGAAAATCAAATTGCAGTGTTTACAATTCATAAAATGTTCAAAATCTGGAATCAGATTGCACACAATAGGGTATATGCTGAGCTAGTGTTGTTCCCATACTGATAAACATCCGGTGACCTTTTTTTTCATTTTATACGGTTCCTATTACAGCATTGATGTTGTAAAGTCATTAAAATATATTCAGTTAAATAGACTTTGGCATTCATTTAGTAGCTCAAGCGTAAGTCAGTTACTCGCACGCGCCCATCAGAATCGGCAGGCTGTCACAGAAGCTCTATTGAATATACTGGGGTAAAATAAATGCTCATATTATAAAGACACGGCGGGGGAAATGTAATGTAATGCAGTGCTTCTTCTACAATCTGAGACCCACTTTATATCAGATATCACTCAGCCAGTGGAGATCGCTGATTTTTTAGAAAACAGACCTTAAAGGTGTCGATTTTGCAATGGCCTTCAGTTCACCGGAAGCGTTTAACCCAGGTTACGGACAAATTAAAAGTCCTATTAGCATACTTCAGCATATACCCTATTGAGCAGGATAAACATTGTAGATTACATTCAGTCAGACTGTCCAAAACAAACATCCAGCTCCATTAAGATTGGCACAGTAGTGCTGTTTTGTTTCAGTTTTGTCTAAAAGGATATCCTTTCTACTTATTTCTCCTTTTTAATGCAACTTTCAGAATCTCAGTAATACTACAATACGAGGACTGCAAGTAATACTGATGTGGTCGACAAAACTGGAGGGCTGCGATGAGAAATGGATGCATCACAATTAATGGATCCTTTCTTAAATTTCCAGAATTTACATTATAATTCACTCTGGAATGGATGGTAGATGGCACTCCAGGCTAGTTTTTAAACAGTATGTGGCTCTCAAGGCTAGCATTTAACAGCAGATGGCGCTGTAGGCTAGTTTTTAAATCGTATGTGGCTCTCAAGGCTCGTGTTTAACAGCAGATGGTGCTGTAGGCTAGTTTATAAATCGTATGTGGCTCTCAAGGCTCGTGTTTAACAGCAGATGGCGCTGTAGGCTAGTTTATAAATCGTATGTGGCTCTCAAGGCTCGTGTTTAACAACAGATGGCGCTGTAGGCTAGTTTTTAAACCGTATGTGGCTCTCAAGGCTCGTGTTTAACAGCAGATGGCGCTGTAGGCGTCTGTTTTAACAGCAGATGGCGCTGTAGGCTAGTTTTTAAATCGTATGTGGCTCTCAAGGCTCGTGTTTAACAGCAGATGGCGCTGTAGGCTTCTGTTTAACAGCAGATGGCGCTGTAGGCTAGTTTTTAAATCGTATGTGGCTCTCAAGGCTCGTGTTTAACAGCAGATGGCGCTGTAGGCTTCTGTTTAACAGCAGATGGCGCTGTAGGCTAGTTTTTAAATCGTATGTGGCTCTCAAGGCTCGTGTTTAACAACAGATGGCGCTGTAGCATAGATATATACACTAGATATCACATACGGACCCTGAGCATGCGTCAGTAGCGCCGCCACATTTGTACAGTGCTCTTGGGACAAATGGCATTGAAGACAATGTGCCAGTGTGAAGATGCTGGACTTTAGTGCTGTGTACGAGTGTAGTAACGAGCAAAGAAAGAAAGCAAAAGCACCAAGGCAGAACATTTTATAGGTAAGATTTAGTTTTTTACGCTTTTCTATGTTATGAACTCTTGTGCTCAACAAGTAACGTTATTGATGACGATACAGTCTCTTACTGCACTGACCATAAGGGAAAGTTGCACCAACTCACACTAAATACCAGGCTTATGCTAGTTGTGTTGAATGAAATTACATTACAACAAGACACTGCAGTGCCAGAAACGTGTATTATTGTCAGCTAAGTGAACGAGTCGTTCATAACGGAGATTCATTCACAAACGAATCGCTCCCTCCGTCAGTATGAGCAGTGAAAGCAGGAGAGGGGCTGTTTCAGGACATGGATTAGATCAAGTTTAACAGGGAGGGTGGATAATACATCTCCATGCACACAAACACACACTCTTTGTCGGCAATGCCCGTGCGGTCACTCATCCATCAATGTAGAAAATGTGATGTAATAAAATATTGGCTTACTGACCACCGGGAAAGCAGAGCTCAGCGGTTGATCTAGAGTGAACAGCGCCATCTGGTGTTGAAAACTAAGCTCAACCCATTCAAAAGAGCGAATCGTGATGCATTTGGAAATTCTGTGTATGGATGCAGAATGATGACAGATACGGAGAGATGCCGGTCTGGTCTGGTCTGGTCTGGTCTCAGTGTTGTTGTTGAGGTTTGTGGTGGTCTTCAGGGTTTCTGTTCTTCTGCGCCTCCGGAGAGATTCATCAAACTACTGCCAGCTTTGATCTACACGCAAACACATGAGGAAATCCTCACTTCAGCTGTTAACCCTTCCATTCACATCTATATTTAATTATTAATTAATAATACTCATGTTTTCACATCGATATTCAGATAATCATATGGCCTTACCATGGAGATGATCCACCTGTAACAGAGGAAACAACACACTGTCAGCTTGAGCCAATTAGAGAGAGAGTGTGATGGTGTGTATGTGTGAGTTAGGGTGTGTATATGAGTGTGTTTGTATGTGTGTGTTTGCATATGTGTAAGTGTGTATGAGAGTGAGTGTTTGTTAGTGTTGGGCGATGTACGAAATTTTCAGATTGTAAGATGTAAGATCGCTGATACGCGATCACATGGGGGCACGGCAGTGTTATGTTGGCTTATTTTTCTAAGTGTTTTTAATAACCTTTTGGCAGATTTTTATTTATTTATTTAATAGTCGACTTGCATTATGTTTTATCTTTGAAAACAATTCAAAGCAATGCAAATCACTGCGCTCTACCAGTTAAAAAGGCGCTGAGACAGAAATTATTTCAACAAGACTTGATGCAACAGTGCGGTGCAGGACAGGATTTGATGGTGAATTCGGGTCCATGCCGTTATCCGAGTATTTATATTTGACTGCCGCTAAATGCATATAATATAAATAGTTGAAAGCAAATGAAATGATATTAATCTACGCAAACAAAAATGCATTAATAGGATGCAGTGGACTCTATTGGACTATGTGGTAAAGGTAGGGCTGGGCAATTTTTATGATTAATTTGAATTTACGTTTTAAGACGATTAAATTTTTTATTAAATTGAGGTATCACTATTTTTTAATAAAAATATTAAATATAATTGCACCGCTTTGGTTCACTCTCTGTATTATGCTGCCTGACTGCCTGTCTGGGATTCAATCATGGTAGTGACGGACTGAACACAGAGACTGGACTGCCTAATTTAACCCAATGCATGAAGTTGTGGGCATGCATCGCAGAGCTGCTGCAAATACAAGCATTTAAGTGTCTTCAGTTGTGTATTTTTCTTCTGTTAATACCTTTGCATCAAACGAGCTTTGGTCCACTCTCACACACTACTGCAGCACTGCGAGAGGATTTACATTCAGACTAATGCAACATGCAAAATCCCACTGAGTCACGTCTGTGTGGATTGTCAAGACATATTCCCTCATCAAGTCGATAAACTTGATCTAAAACATGTATGAAGGACGTAAAAACCTCATGTGATAAACCGCGCCGATATTTTGATTTGAACACGAGCAGAGGTGAGGGACGGTAGCAGTGAAAATGAAAGTAGCCGCCCTCCATGACGTTATTTAGCGGACCTAGTTGAAACCCAGATCAGGCAGCATAACACAGAGAGTGGTGCAAAGCGCATCAAATGATCGGTATTTAAAAGGGGGAAAAAAGAAAAATAGAATAAATATGTGATTTTATATTAGACACACATCTGGGGCCTCATGTACGAAGACTTGCGTGGAAATCATACTAAAACATTGCGTACGCACACAGAGCTGTACATGTGCGTACGCATAAAAAAATTCAGATGTATGAAACACTGCGTACGCCGAATCTCACGCATATTCTTTTGTACATCCGAATGAACGTGAAACTGAGCGCAACATGCACGAGCGCAAAACCCCTCCCTGCCTCCTCCCCCGTATGAATATGCTAATGACTCTACTTTGGCAAAACCCAACGAAAAAGCAACGGCAAAAGCAAGCAAAAAGAGAAACTTTGAACAGAATGTGAATTGGAGGTGCTGCTTTCAGAGGTAGACCGGAGAAAAGCGGTGTTATTTGCAAGTTTGTTCTCCGGAATTAACAACAAAAGAAAAAAATAGAGTGGGAGAGTTTAGCTGATGCGGTTAACACAGCTGGGTCTGAACATCGCACTGAGTGCATTAAAAAAGAAATAGTGCGATTTATAGGTGTAAAATATTGCAGTATTTTTAACAGTCTCAGTGGCGCAGCTCGTAAGACACAGGATATCATGTTTTGACACGTTCGAGCATGAACTCGGTTCAAATCCAGCATCTGATGAACTCTTTCTTCTTTTCCCCCGCTACATATCAGATTTTGCCAACTCTTCATCACGAGAAAGACAAGTAGGAATCATTAATAAGTCTGTGCATCATATTTTATTTGCACATTTATTGAATGGAAATGTTTCTGTTTTACGCATGCAAATCTTCAGATAGTGTCTTTATAGCAGTGTGTGTGCAGTAGATCGCTCAGATTACATTGGGAAAACAGGCGACCGCTGCAAATTGTGCTTTAATGTTTAGCTGGTCAACTGTATGGTATGGAAACCTTATATACCTGCTAGATGAACCCGTCTCATACAGCTGCCATTGCAAGGCTCAGACACTTTGTAGAGAAGAATTTAACACAACTGCCTCTAGGAGTCGCCAATGGAAATAAAACAGACACGCACAAAAAATGTGCGTACGCCAGCCATGAAGCTGCCGTGAAGCTGCGCACATTCCCACGTTCAGTTCATCGTTAGTAAATCCAAACGTGAGCTATTCTGAGCGTGAAACCTGGCGTACGCAATGTTTTTGTGCGTACGCAGCATTGATACATGAGGCCCCTTGTGCTTTTATTTGCTCCTGCTGTACGTCCACAACTTCACGCATAGGGTTAAATTAGGCTCTACAGTTTCCATGTTCAGTCAGCCAATCTTTCACAAGCTCAGCAAAACTCGCAAAAAATACCTCTGTATTCCTGCAACTGCAATATTTACACAAATATATATATATATTTGAAATCTTCAGCGATGCTATTTAGCTTGTGAATTTGTTTTACATTTATTTACACCTCGTTGACCACTTTATGTGTATGGCATGGCCATTAAAAATACACTGTTCCTTAACCAGATGGTTTTCAAGTTACTTATAAAGAGAATGTTACTTCAGTCATGTTGTTGTAATGTCTTAAGTTGACTAGTTACACAAAATCGTAATCGTAGTTACACGAAATCGTAATTCGGTCAAACATTTTTAAAAATCCAGATTTTTTTTGCCGTATCGCCCAGCCCTAATCTGTATGTATGGAGTGTGTGTTTGTCTGTGTGAGTCTGTGAGTGTTTGTGTGAGAGTACATGTGCCTGAGTGTTTGTGTGAGTGTGCATATGTGTGTGTGTTCGAGTGCTTGTGTGAGTGTGTGTATGTGTGTGTGTGTCTGTGTGTTACCTCAGCATCTGCTCCTGTGTTGTTGTGTGTGTTTTCTGATTCAACACTGTCTTCCATTTCACACACCATATTAGTGTCCATCGCAGTCTCGTCCTGCTCACACACACACACACACACACACAAGCAGAGGAGTTAGCATTTATTCATACGTTCAGAGTCAGTGCTGAGTGTGTGTGTGCACATCTGTGTGTAAGTGAGTGAGTGTGTGTGTGTTCACCTTGACCCAGCAGTGTTCCAGCACCTCGTCAGCTGTGTATCGATCTCCAACATCCACCTGCAGCATCTTCCCGATTAAATCCTGCAAACACACATTGAGCCCCAGTGAGCTGTCGGTCTGACGTCAGCTGATAAACCTCTTCTTCAGTGTTTAGCCAACCTTAGCCGAGTCGCTGATATTGTCCCAGTACGGGGAGGGGAAGTCCAGTTTTCCCAGTAAGATCTGCTCGAACAGCTCCTCCTGCTGGTTCTTCTCGCTGCGGAATGGTGGAAAACCACACAGCAGGATATACGTGATCACACCCGCCGCCCAGATGTCCACCTTCAGCCCGTACCTGAAACACACACACGCAGTCACTTAACTACACACTTTAAACTGTATATTGTATTCTCCAGTGTTGAATGCTTGACTCTGATTGGCTGATGAGGTTCTAAGGTGTTCAGTTATTGTCAGATAAAACATCACATGTTGTCAGAGCAGAAAACATCCTGTGAGTAAACAGGAGCAAGCATACCCAGCTTAACAGCATTATATTGATCATTTATATTAATATTCAGTTATCACAGACAGGTTTTACCCAGACTCGGCGATAATCTCTGGAGCGACGTAAGTTGGCGTCCCGCAGACGGTGTACAGCGGACCCTCCACTACTGTAGCCAGACCAAAATCCCCCAATTTCAGAGACTTGGTGCCATCCGGATACTCGCACACCTACACACACACACACACAGATGTGTTCATACCGTACACGTATATGGATCTGGTTAGAAATTCATTAAATATAATCAGCATTATGTAATCAGTACTTAATTTGAGTAAACAGCTTCTTAAAATACTTGTAATAAATAAAAAATTAAGTGTAATCTGATTACATGGTTACATGTTATTTGCACAACGGCACTAAATTTAATTGACTCACCTAATTATTATCTTTTTGAACGTTTATACTGTGTATATATATATATATATTATAATTGCCCTGCCGCTTGTATACATTCATGAGTCAAGGCATTTGCAATGATTTTTATTGTTTGCTGTATGCATTAATTCAATAATCTGCACTTCTAGTGTTTTTTACATTAGATATTTCATGTAGCAGTGATATTGATGTGAATTTCATGTTTTCAATATTGAATTTGTAATGTTGCTGCTTACTTAATTTACTTTATGTTTTAAAATCTCTGTAGTGTTGTTCAGTGTTACTATCAGCAAACACTAACAGCGAGTTATACTAGTGTGAGTATTGTGAAGTATTAACTGTCCACTATTGCACTTTAAGATTTTTTTTTCTGTTTGTCAAAATATCACAACATTATCCTGCTTCAAAACGTCAAATAAGGCATAGCACAGAAGTAATTTTAATATAATCTAAAAGCAGTCAGATTGAATAAAATAAAAAGTGCCATCAAAGTAATCTAAATGTAATTTAACTGTAATCTGATTGCATTGCTATTAAAAGTAATCTAAATGTAATCCAACAGTCAGATTAAATTGCCATAAAGGTAATCTAAACGTAATCCAAAAGCAGTCACGTTAAGCTGCCATAAAAGTAATCTAAATGTAATCCAACAGTAGTCAGATTGCATTGCCATAACAGCAATCTAAATATAATCCAAAAGCTGTCAGATTACACTCATAAAAACAATCTAAATGTAATCCAAAAGTATTTAGATTGTAGTAGTCATATTGTATTGCCAAAAAAAGTCATCTAAATGTAATCCAAACGTAGTCAGATTGCATTGGCATAAAAGTAATTTAAATGTAATCCAAAAGTAGCCAGAATAAATTGCCATAAAAGTAATCTAAATGTAATCCAAAAATAGTCAGATTGCATTGCTCATAAAAGTAATCTAAATGTAATCCAATAATAGTCAAATTAAATTGGCATAAAAGTAATCTAAATGTAATCCAAAAGTCGCCGGAATAAATAGTCATAAAAGTAATCTAAATGTAATACAAAAATAGTCAGACTGCATTGCCATAAAAGTAATCTAAATGTAATCCAATAATAGTCATATTAAATTAGCATGAAAGTAATCTAAATGTAATCCAAAAGCAGTCAGATTGCATTGCCATAAAAGTAATTTAAATGTAATCCAAAAGTAGTCATATTAAATTAGCATGAAAGTAATCTAAATGTAATCCAAAAGCAGTCAGATTGCATT